CTAGCTAAACAAGCCTGGAGGCTCTTACAGGTTCCGTCTTCTTTATGTGCTCGGGTGCTCAGAGCTAGATATTATAAAGATGCAAGCATCATGTCTACGTCGTGTCTGTCCGGGGCTTCCTACACATTTAGGAGCATACTATATGGGCGTGACTTGCGGCGTGAAGGAACCATATGGCGCATAGGGGATGGACAGAAAATTAATATCCACCATGCGAATTGGATTCCTAGGGAAGGAAGCATGAGACCACTGAGTCAGACGTACATGCATGGGATTACTCGGGTGGCTGATTTGTTAGCTCCATGCGGTAGGCAGTGGGACAACATGAAGCTACAGAGTATGTTTACTCAAAGTGATATTGAGGATATCAAGCAAATCAAGGTGGGTGGACCAGGGACGGATGACTACCAAGCTTGGAACTATACGAAGTCAGGTCAATTTTCGGTGAGATCCGCTTACCACTTGAGGATGAGGCTTAGCAAGGGGGCCACCGGACGGCCGGGCCCCTCGTCCTCAGTTAAGGATCACCAGGGATGGATGGCCTTATGGAATACAAATGCGCCAAACAAGGCAAAAATTCATATGTGGCGAATTATGCGGAACGGGCTAGCGGTGGGTGCTGAGCTATACCGAAGGAAAATAAAGGACGGCGTTTTCTGTGCAGCGTGTGGACGAGAAGAAACGCTCTATCATCGCTTCTGGGCGTGTCCACACTCTGAGCTGTTCTGGGAAATTTTGCGGTCGGAGAGAGGAGTTGCGGTGGCGATCCCGCCGTGTTCTGTTAGCTCCTCTAGTGCTCTTGCATCTTGGCTACTAGGATGGTTTGCGGAAGCCTCGGATCAGGAACGAGAAGCTATGGTACAGGCCGCTTATGGGTTGTGGCTAGCACGGAATGGGGCAAAGGACGGGAAGAGGATCGTTGCAGCACATGAGGTTGCGACATTGACTATGTCCTACATGGCAGAGTGGACAGCCACGCACGAGCGGAAGACCACCACGGTGAGTATGAGGGAGGTGCAGCGATGGGCGGCCCCGGAGCCAGGTTGGGTAAAAGCTAATGTTGATGGAGCCGTGTCTAGACTTGGAGGAAAGGGCGGTGGCGGGGTCATCATCAGAGGTGACCAAGGAGACTTCCGTGCGGCGGCATGCACTTTCATTGACGGTCGCGTGGACGCCGAGACGGCGGAGCTCATGGCGTGCAAAAGGGCGGTCCAACTAGCAGGTGAGATTAATGTTCAGAAATTACACCTCGAGACGGACAGCATGGGGGTGGTGAGCATGCTTGCAGACCCGAACAAGAACCTCTCGGCCTCATGGCCATGTGTCGAGGAGATCAAGCAGATGATGCGTGGACTCAGCGAGAAGGAGGTTTCGTGGGTACGACGGTCGGCAAACTCCGCTGCTCATAAACTAGCTAAGGTAGGAGTAGGAGATGAACTCTGTAAACTTTGGCTTATGGTGCCACCAGACTTTGTGTTAGATGTGGTCTCCGAGGAGATCCCAGACTTTCATTAGATAAATAAAGCAGCGAGAGTTATCCTAAAAAAAAAGAAAACCTACTCCCACCGTAAAAATATATATAATTATTTAGATCACTACGCTCTTAGGGCATTTCAAACGCTGATCCTCACCGCATGCATACGTCCGAAACCAAAAGGCCCATCCAAAAGGAAGGCGAAGTACGCGCTTTTGTAGTTGCCCGCCCTGTTTCCATGATAAAATCCACACTCTTCTTCCATCCCGCCACTCTCCATCCAATTCCCGCCCTTTTCTCCCATTCTCTTCTTCCTTCCCGCTGCTGACGCGTGGAACCGAACAATAGCATGCCATAGTTGGAGGTGGTGTAGGTGCAGGAGGATCCAAGCATCACCCTCGCCCGGAAGATCAACATGGCGACGTGGAAATATCACATTGTTAAAGCGAAGGTTGCAAAGGAGGAAAAACTCAGAAAGTGGAAAGGCCGCCGAGGGCGTCCATTGAGGTGCGCGTGCTTGTCGCGGACTTGGTGGAGGTCGCGGCCAGGGCCGTGGAGTCCTGATGGTGTCGCCCACCATCCAGACATCGTGAAACACAACATGGTATGTTTTGTATCTTTTTTCTTTTTTTTTGTTCAGAACACTATATGACAAGATGTCTAACATTGTGTGCTCTATTTTACTTTTAATCATGGGGATCATAGAAATTACCTATGAAGATGATTTTGCCGAGGACATCCCTGGTGCTGGCATGGCTGGAGTACGCCTTGGAGCAGCAGGTCCTGTCACCAGCGTTCGATACAAGACGGACACAGACGGCCGCATATCATTTTATGAGATCGGCTGACGGGAATTCCTGAAGGGAAAGAGATGACGACTAACGGTTGGCCCAACGTTGATCATCACGATAAGGAACAACAGGAACAACAACTTTCTGATGATGGTTGTTTTAGATCTTATTGAGAAATAAAGTCCAGCCAAATATCTCCAAGCCGATGAACTCTTAGCTACTTAGTTAAGACGCCTATGGTACTTTGATATTGGTTTGTTAATTGGAATTTTTTTTTTGAAGTGCTAGTAGTTATTATAAAGAGTGCTAATTACCTAGTGAACTTGCATGCCTAAGCTTACAACGTGTGCTATATTTGCTTCTAGTATTGAATTTCCTATATTAGATTTATGCAAAAAAAAAACAGGCTGGCCCAGGTCATCGCTTGATATCCCCACTCGTTCTTCTAAAAAAAAGAGAGGATATCGGGAGCTCCTATGTGTCGCGTTATGCGGCAGAATGTCGAGCAAACGCACGGGAGGGTCTGAAATGGGCGGGCCCAGAGTGCACTGTATCACAGAATCGAAAAAAACAAAAGCAAAAATGCGAGCGGTTGCACGGAATCAAACACGAGACCTCCAGCGTAAGCGAGCTCTGCGTTTACCAATACACAACACAAACTTTGTGTAGAATATACGCAGCGCAGCTGTTTAACAACTAGCTATTCGTATGGACATACTGTACGCAAGCAAAACGACACTGTATGAGTACTGTAGCCATTGCATTTTTTTAAAACCGAACACTTCAAATTTCGAGTTGTTTTTGAAAGCACGGAAACTTCGAAATAGTATATATGAAATGTTTCAAAAGCATAATGTTTTTCTGAAGACACAAACATTTTTGAAAAAAATGAATATTTTGTGTATTGTGCGATCATTTTTTAAATTTGCAAACTTTTTTTGTTTGCACGAACATTTTTCAGAAAAGATGAACATTATTTTGAAAGCGCGAATATTTTTCACAAAGACGAACATTGTTTTGAAAGCACAAACATTTTTCAAAAATACTAACATTTTCCAAATTGTGAACATTATGTTGAAAAACGTGAATTTGTTATGAAATTTACGAATATCTTTTGAAAATATGACATTTTTCAACTTTACAAATTTTTTGAATACACAAACATTTCTTAAAATTTGAGAACAATTTTTAAAACATGGATTTTTTTAAAACAATTTGAACATTTTTTGAATTATGCGAACATTTTTGAAAATAGCAAACATTGTTTTGATTGCATAAACATTTTTCAGAAAAGCCGAACATTGTTTTGAGAGCGCAATAATTGTTCTGAAAGTGCGAACATTTTCCAAATTGTGAACATTATCTTGAAAAAAGTGAATTTGTTATGAAATTTCCGAACTTTTTTTGAAAATATGACATTTTTTAACTTTAGGAACATTTTGAACACGCAATATTTTTGAAATTTTTGGAACATTTTTTAAAATACGAACATTTTCTAGAATTTGTGAATATTTTTTTTGAAAACACGATCAATTTTTTGAAAATCCCGAAAATATTTTCAAATTGGGGAAAAATTTTGAATTCTGGACATTTTATAAATTTGCGAATTTTTCAAAAAAGGAAAATAAAAGAAGAAAGAAACATAAAAAATAACAAGAAAACAAGAAACAGAAAGGAAAAACCGAAACAGAAAAATCATGAAAGAAAACCAGCCTCGAAACTCCCCGCAAAAAAAACCAGATTCGAAAAACAACAGGAACAAGAAAAACCAGTTCGGGGAACATTCTAGAAGGTTCTCAATAGCCACGCTAACCTCTAAATGGGCGCCGGCCCACTGAGCTCTCCGCGTCTCTCGCCTCTGCGAACCTCCGCCAAATGCGTCAAATAGGAAATACCGAGGATATCCCCACTCGTCGTCAAGATAGAAGGGGTGCGGGCACGCGGACGCCTGGCAGAGTGGCAGGCGGCCGGCGGCGCAGCTGTGCAGAGGGGTCGTGTACTCGCAGGTCAGTCCACCTCTTCTAAATTCTTCCCGAAGTGGCTGCTGCTCCATGGGGATCGGAATCAACGGCGAGCAGGTCGCCGTTCTTAGTTCATTTCGGCTTGCAGGCGATCTGTTCGATGAAATGCTCCATGCGGATTAGTAATGTACTCCGTATAAAATAGTCTCAACTCTTAAAAGAGAAATTTCAGCATCAGGTTCTCTTGCAACACAAGAATGTCACATTAGAAAGTTCAGTCACCACGTGCTAAATGTGCTCAGCTATCTCAAAACTGAAAAGGAAAAAAAAATCAGTTCAACCATCTCAGCGAATTGGAACTTGACAGATACACGTGTCTTAAATAGGGCCATGACTAGTTTTGCTTTGAAATTTCCTCTTACCTACACAGAACCTATCCTTTTTTTTCAAGAACACGCAAGAGAGTTGCGTGCCTTATACATTAAGGAAGAGAAGATGGCATACAAGCGATAGTCGACAAGCCGACGTCTCGCTGCACAGAACCTATCCTGATTGAAACTTTCTTGGAAGTATATATCAACCAGTCCGTCATGCTTTAGTCAGTTCGGTTGCCTCGTTGGACTTTGAAATAGGGTCATGACTAGCTGCCTCATTGGACTTTGAAATCAACCGACAAGGGGTACCAGCCAGCTGGTAGTTAAGAACCTATGTTCGTTGTTAGCTTCAGAGTTCGAACAGATACAAGAATAGCTGTTTTCAACTAGTAAGCTCAAGATGACGATTTCGATCCCTTCTTCCCGTCGAGCGTCGATTGGCACCATTGGAGCACTCGTGTTTCAGCTCCTGGTGGTGGCACTGGCAGCAGGGCCAATAGCCTTGCCCGGCTGCCCCGAAAGCTGCGGCCACATTATCGTGCCGTACCCTTTCGGCATCAGCAAAGGCTGCTTCCACGAGGGCTTTGGTCTCACCTGTGACGAGATGCAGTACCCACCAAGGCTGTTCTTGGGTGATGGAGTGGAAGTGCTTGGCATCTCCTTGACTGATGACACGGTGCGGATCCGGAGCAAGGTTTTGCGATCAAGCTTCTCTGAGTTCAACGGCTCATGGTCCGGCCCTGCAGTAACCTGGCCCTTCTCGGTATCAAGCGCGTGGAACTGGTTTGTGGCCATTGGATGCAACATCGTAGCTAAGCTCGGCCATCCGAGCGGGCTCCATACTCAGGACGGGAGCCAGGCCAGCACCTGTGCCGCTGCTTGCCTGGACGACCACCAGAACTTCACTGGTACATCGTGCTCGGGTATTGGCCGCTGCCGCGCATCTATCGTGTGGGAGCTGCCATCCTATGGCATCCAAGTTACACCACTTGCTGCGTTGACACCTGACTTCTCGTCATACACAGGTGTGTATGTGTTCATTGTTGATCAGGACTGGTTCAGCAGAAATGAAAATGAGATGATGGTCAACTTCACCCATTCATATGAGAAAACCATGGTTGAGAGTGTACCGGCAGTGTTGGAGTGGTGGTTGGATTTGATCGGCAACAAGGACATGTTGCCATTGTCTGTCGGGCCCAATTCTTCTGAATTTAGATGTTTAAGCTTGAACAGCGATAGCTATTTCGTTTTTGGAGATTATGAAAAAAGACGGTGCAACTGTTCTCAAGGATACGAGGGCAACCCTTACATCACTGATGGGTGCCAAGGTATGTTACCAGTACTTTCTGCTGCATTCTTACATAGTTGCGGTAGTTATAACATTACGAAAGAACATGCATGTGCTGTCTTAGCTTTTTGCATTCGATGTATAAAACCCCCTGCTTTCCAACAGTGTGTTTTTTCCCCTTCAGATATTAATGAGTGCCTACAACCAGATGTTTATCCCTGCAATGGGACCTGCATCAATATGCCAGGGACATACCAATGCTCAGCAAAGAAAAGAATCATCACTTTACCAGGTACAAAAACACACACTTGATACAAGGCTTTCGTTGGTGATAATTACAAATAGAAAAGTTCATGTTTTGTTGCTCTGCTATTGTGAGTTCAGTTTTTGTCCCTGAACTAAAATACAGATAAGTTTTACTAGAAACTTAATTATTTGAATACTGCTGCTGGTAGGACCTAGCTGCTTAATCTTAGTTTGCAGTTAGTTATCTCTAATGCTAACTCAAATCATCAGTAGGGTTGTAGATCATTCAGACATGCATAACAAGAAGAAAGAAAAAGAACAACTATAAAGTATTTTCAATATATGAGTGGTCGTGTAGATATTCCTGAGAAAACTTTTAATAGTTGAGTAGTCTGAAACAGATTTTGTGCAGTAGCTTGATTTCTTGAAGTGAACACAACATATAATGTTTATATCATTCTTAGGTTTGCTTTCTGCAGGTCTAATTACCATAATAGCAGTTGGTGCTGGTTTTGGCCTATTGTTTTCACTCCTAGGTGTTGCCCAAGTCACAAAAACACTCAAGAAACAAAGAGCCAAGAAGTTAAGACAAAAATTCTTTGAGAAAAACCATGGACTTCTTCTACAACAGTTAATCTCTTCGAACAAAGATATAGCTGAAAAGATGAAGATTTTCAGCTTAGAAGAGCTAGAGCAAGCAACCAACAAATTTGACCATAATCGGATCCTTGGCGGCGGTGGGCATGGCACGGTGTATAAAGGCATCTTATCTGATCAACGTGTCGTGGCCATCAAGAAGGCCAATATTGTCGTGCAGAGGGAAATCGACCAGTTTCTAAATGAGGTTGTTATACTTTCACAGACAAACCATAGGAATGTGGTGAAGCTCTTTGGTTGCTGCCTCGAGACAGAAGTTCCTCTACTAGTTTATGAGTTCATATCGAATGGAACTCTCTCGTGTCATCTCCATGGCCAAAGTGATAATCATTTGTCATGGAAAGATCGATTAAGGATTGCACTGGAAACTGCAAGGGCTATTGCATATCTGCACTCTGCTGCTTCCATATCAGTATATCATAGAGATATCAAATGCGCCAATATACTACTTACTGATACTTTAACAGCGAAAGTATCAGATTTTGGAGCTTCAAGGTCGATTGCAATAGATGAGACTGGAATACTTACAGCCATCCAAGGAACCTATGGTTACCTTGATCCTGAATACTACTACACTAGCCGACTCACGGAGAAGAGTGATGTTTACAGCTTTGGTGTCATCCTAGCAGAACTACTGACAAGGATAACTCCAGTTTTTTCTTCTCATTCATCAGAAGGCACAAGCCTAGCATCACATTTTGTATCACTAATGAGCGACAATCGCCTGTCAGACATTCTAGATACACAAATTGTTAATGAAGGAGGAGTTGAAGATGCTGAGGTCGTTGCAAGACTTGCAAAAGCATGCTTAAGCTTAAAAGGGGAAGAAAGACCTACAATGAGGCAAGTGGAGACAATACTTGAAGGTGTGCATAGCTCAAGGTTTGATCACAATTCTCAGACAATACGAGTGGGCCAAAGTGCTCTAAAAGACCAGCCATGGAAGGGGAACAATGGTGGCGAAGGAACTAGATTATACAGCTTGGAAAAAGAGTTCATCGAATCATCGGAAATTCCAAGATGATTTTAGTTGCATGAAAAAATGTTGTACATTTATTATTAATAGTTCTGGTGCCATAGTGCAGAATGTATTTTACGAACTCTGGATTGTAAATATATGTGTATTTCCTATGCTTTTTATTTCGTGGAATGCTGATGGGTGATGTAGAGACAAATATGTTACAGTAAATAAAATGAATTCAGTTACTATTTATATCTGTCATATAATTTGTCGCACAGAAGTTTGGAAGTTTGCGAGGACAACATGTTGACGGGTCCGCAAAATACAGACTGTAAATACTTCGCATTCAAGCGATGAATTTGCATCAAGTAAATTTGAGAGCTATGTCTGTTTGATGTATACAACACCTCTGTTTCAACTCTGTTTTCTCCCTTTCAGATATTGACGAGTGCCAGCGGCCAGATGTTTATCCATGCCAGCACGGAGTATGCATCAATATGCTAGGGACATATTGATGCTCAGCAAAGAAAAGCAGCAGCAGTCTCCCAGGTACAAATACAACTATTTCACTTGATATTGAGCTTTGCTTAGTGATAATTAAGGACCATAGAATTATGGTAGTTATCCATTGTGTAGTACTAGGGCTACAGAAACAATAGTAATGCATTCTTCTGCTTTGAAATGAGATGTACTAATACTGAAACCATCATAGGTTGACCATTCAGAAATTGAAGACAACAGAAAGAGAAGAAAAAAGTACATAATGTTATGTGCTTCATAATACTAAACCATCCGACCACTGAACTGAACCAAAGTATAGCCCAGTAGTTTCAAACTTTCAATTGAAAATAGCAGCCTAAGTATTTGAAATTCATACGACATATCATGTACTATCGATCCTTATTTTCATTTTTCTACAGGTTTAATCACCGTAATTGCAATTAGTGCTGGTTTTGGCCTACTGTTTTCACTTCTGGGTGTTGCCAAAATCACCAATAAACTCAAACAACAAAGAGTCAAGAAGTCAAGACAAAACTTCTTCAAGAAAAACCATGGACTGCTCCTCCAACAGTTAATCTCTTCAAGCAAAGATATAGCTGAAAGAACAAGAATATTCAGCTTGGAAGAGCTAGAGCAAGCAACCAACAAATTTGACCATAATCGCATCCTTGGCGGTGGTGGCCATGGCACGGTTTATAAAGGCATCTTATCTGACCAACATGTTGTGGCCAACAAAAAGGCTAAAATTGTCGTTCAAAGGGAAATCGACCAGTTCATAAACGAGGTTGTCATACTTTCCGAGACAAACCATAGGAATGTGTTGAAGCTCTTTGGCTGCTGCCTCGAGGCAGAAGTTCCTCTACTTGTTTATGAGTTCATATCAAATGGAACTCTCGCCTTTTATCTCCATGGCCAAAGTTAGAACCATCTATCATGGAAAGATAGGTTGAGGATTGCACTGGAAACTGCAAGGGCCATTGCATATCTACACTCTGCTGCTTCCATATCAGTGTACCATAGAGATATCAAATGTGCAAATGTACTACTTACTGACACTTTAACAGCAAAAATATCTGATTTTGGAGCTTCAAGGTCAATTGCAATAGATGAAACAGGAATACTCACATCTGTCCAAGGAACTTATGGTTACCTTGATCCTGAATACTACTACACTAGTCGACTCACGGAGAAGAGTGACGTCTATAGCTTTGGTGTCATCCTAGCAGAGCTACTGACAAAGGTGACACCGGTTTTTTCTTCTCATTCATCGAAACAATCCTAGCATCACATTTTGTGTCACTTATTAGAGACAACCGCTTGTTAGATATTCTAGACTCACAAATTATTGAGGAAGGAGGGGCTCAAGATGCTGAGGTGGTTGCAAGACTCGCAGAAGCATGCTTAAGTTTAAAAGGTGAAGAAAGGCCTACAATGAGGCAAGTGGAGACAACACTTGAAGATGTGCATAACTCAAAGGTCCATCTCAATTCTCCGATTACAAGGGTGAACCAGAATGCTATCAACGATCAGTCATACAAGGGGAACAAAGGCGATGAAGGAACTAGACTGTACAGCTTGGAAAAAGAGTTCATCCAATCATCTGAAATTCCTAGATGTTTTTACTTATGTGGTGAAGTGTTGCGGTTACTATTATTAGCTTGGGAACAAAACTGTAAATCATTTGTAAATTGTGAACTCTGAATTATAACCATGTGTGTATTTCCAGAGGACTGGTCGTTGACCATTTGGCTAGCTATGAAATGCACAGAGCTCCCTGAGCTGTGTTCATGGCTCAGCCTATGCTCGGTTGGTGCTCGTCTTTCTTTAGGAAAAATGTCACCAAGGACTAGTCCTGGTTGGTCGAGTTTTTTTAGCCATGCGTGTATTTCCTGTGCTAATGAGTCATGTAGTCATGAAGAATTAAGTATGTGGAAGTAAATACAACTAAATCAGTTACAATTTCTACGGTTAAAATATCTGGCTCTTAACACTGAAGTTCAAAAGTTTGCGAGAACATATGTTGACGATCAAGGATGACAACATATATCTTGATAAGTATATCTTGAGAGATCAGTTAAATACAAACTTGTGAAATGCTTTGTTGCAAGCACTTTCGTTGATGAAAACAACAATGCATAGTGAAGATCAGATGCACCAAGGATGAAGGAGCTCGAGAGCCGAAGGCGCAATGTTATAGTATCAGGGAAGCCAGGAACTGAACATTGCTCAAAAGATCCTACGCATATCTTATGATTAAACCAGAAATATGATAACATTTACAAATCCACATGTCCATTTCAAATATAGTTTACATTTCCAGTTCAGTTCTGAAGCAAAAGATCAAAAGATCCCTACATATGGTTTATTTTGGCCACTTGGACTTGCATTCACTATAACTTGTTGAACACGTCACATTGTATTGCTTATCTCACTAGAGCCGTTATATTTTGCATTGCCTAACTTGATAATTATGAATTAAAATTTGTAATTGTACCTATTCACTCCCTCTAGGTCCATCTTAATCCTTTCAGAAGCCGCGTACCCTCACTACTCTCACTCGGGGCTGGCTCGCTAGAGATGGTCAATTCAGACGTTCCTCCGGAGCCAAGCTCCAGGCTGCTTCGAGGATCGTGTTACGCAAGCCCAGCCGCACACACAGATAACCAAACATGCCAAATTTAGTCCCTGCAACATGACTGGATGTTCTACGAGTAACCAAACACGCCCTCAACGTACCTGTCGACATTGGCACCGAGATGTCGTCCTCATTCTACATGACATTGCCATGGTCATCGTGGACATCTCTGCGTCGGAGTGTGGGGATGAGGCACCATTGTCACTGCAGCCACCGCCTTCGTGCCTGAGCGCGGACATAAATCTTCAAGTCTTGTGAGCTACATGTTCATATGGAGAATGACGCCTGTCAAGATGCCTTTGACTGGTGGGAGGATCTTCACTACTCATACTTCTTTTTGAGCACTGCTACACAGACGACGCTTGTCTAGCCGAATTTGCACAACATGCCCATAGTACAATCCGTGGGCAAGTCTAAACAACAGTAGGCCATGGGATTAGCTATCATGCATGTGTTGTACAGCAAAACGCGGTCCATGAAGTAATTCCGCTTCTTTTTCTCTCACCTTTTTTCAGGTTTGGTGAAACTTTTTATAGTCTTAAGACCGAGCCGACATATCGTACTCTATACCGCGCACCGGTACTTGCATGGACCAAACCCTTGTGGAAAGTGTCCTTCCCATTGAAGATTAAGAAATTTGTATGGCAGCTTCTCCGTGATCGCCACCCATTGGAGACAGAGATGGTCAAGCGACATGGGGCTGGCGATGGGCTTTGCCCTCTTTGTGATGTCCCAGAGTCTGGGACCCACATCTTCTTCGCCTGCACTGTTGCCCGCTTTCTTTGGAGCTTTGTCCATGAGGTTTTACATTATCATGTTGTCTCACATGTGTTACTATTTATTTAGTAAGTTCGAGGTCGATCAGCTTCATACTTAAGCCACTAGGTTGGAAATCTTAAAACTATTTTAAAAAAAATTGTATTTGTTAATGAGTTCTAGTATAATTATATATATTTTTAAAAGCATGTTGCATATATTATATTTTCAACATATTGTAGGGATTAGAGTTTGAATTACCAATTTTGTAGTGTACATGTTCACACTTTTTTGTTTTTTTGTTTTTTGCCTATGTTAAGTGGAAATCGAGGTATAAAGAAAAATCACAATGAGACTACACAGTGACCTGGCATGCCTCACATGGTCTACAGAAAGAGTATCGCTAGTTTTCCATTCTATGTAAGCAATGTATAATTACAACATGATTATTTTTCTGTTTATATATATTGTCCACCCCCTCAAATAAATAATTTAGTGCAAGACCTAGAGTGCACTAGTATCTATCTAGGTTATTATATCTTAATTTGTTCCATGAATTTGAATTTTAACCCCCAAAATATGAGGTCACACCCTCTAGCGCAAAATATAGCACCCATCGTTGACTATCGTAAGTACCCCCTGAATATCTATCTTAAGTTAAGGTCCTATAGTGCATGAGTTTATATTTGTATGTGCCATTAGGCATCGATGTTATTTTTGAGGTATGTGAGGCTATTCATAGTGGGAGTAACTTAGCTAGTAACATAACGCATCTCAAGACAAATTTGCTTATGAGGCATGTAGTTAATGAGGAGAGTGATGCTTGTGATAACATAATATGTTACCGTAACATTTTTTTGAAAAGGAGAATTACCCCCGGCCTCTGTATCTCTTGATGCACACAGCCATCTTATTGAAAATCCAGATCCAAAAGAAAGTCTTAAATTATGAGGAGAGTGTTGGATGAAATGCTCAACTGAGTTCCGGCCAAGCGGGGGTGTCGATCGCGCCTAGACGGGGCCGAGCTGCGTCGAGGTACTTTCTTCTTTCTTTCGCTGTCGGCCGGCTGGTCACCAAAATTGCCATTGCCTGGTAGCCTGGGAACCTTCAGCGAGCTCTTGAACCAACCTGCCTAGCGAACACACTCCATCCCCACCCAATTCGGATGGCATGCTGTGACCAACAGCAGCCAAGTTGGACACGAGTTTGAGTTTCCACATATAAAACACAAGACTGTCAAATCACTGATTATTATGCCACACTCGTTTCCCTTTCCTTTCTTACGACGGCATAGACTTTCCAGCTTGTACCAAAGAGACGTCCCTGTTTGAGCTCAAGTTTATATCCAAATAGGACGATTGAGATGTCACTTGAGCTACTAGACAGGCAGGATTAGTCTATGCGTTTACTAATTCAGCTACTCCCTTTGTTCACTTATATAAGACGTTCTAGCAAATTCAGACAGTATACTAAACAGTTCAAACCCAGCTGTCTGAAACGCCTTATAAAAGCGAACGGAGGGAGTACTAGATATAGATAGGGAGCGCAGCATGCTTACATTGACTAGTCTATACGCGTACGTACTACTGTATCTGGTCGGCGGTGAAGTCAACTTAGAAGACCAAAGTTTTTCTACACCAATTGTGGAGGAGATATAGACTACTAGTACGACTGTGAGCTGTCTAGCAAGTTCCCAAGCCAAGCTTGCCCAACAGCATGTCACAAGCAAAGCTCATCGTCGCAACGGTGACGGCACTTCAGCTCCTCATGGCGACAGCCGTCGCCGCCGTCCAGGTAGCCTTACCTGGGTGCCCGCAGGCCTGCGGCAACGTCACCGTCCCCTACCCTTTCGGTTTCCGGCGAGGCTGCTTCATGGTTTTCAATTTCAGTTTCAGAAGAATTTCAGCACCAACCGAAATCACTGAAATTCAATGAATTTCAGTGATTTCAGTTTCCATTTCAGCCAAATGACCAAAATATTCACTTGAATTCAATTAAAAATTTGAAAAAATTTAAAAATATTTTGAAAAATATTGGAATTGTTGTGCTATACTGAAATTGCTGAAATATTTTGGCCGAAACGTAATATTTCAGTGTCTGCTGAAATTACTAAAATTCAGTGAATTTCACCGAAATCTCACTGAAAGTGAAAACCATGGGCTGCTTTCGCAAGGGCTTCAACCTCACCTGCGACGAGACGCGCCGTCCGCCGAGGCTGCTCCTGGGCGACGGCGTGGAGGTGGACGCCATCTCCCTGGCGGACGGCACGGTGCATGTGCAGACCAAGGTCGTGGCATTCCGACCACTTTACACAAACGGTGCCGTCGGCGCGAGGAGATCTATCGACCACAACTACTCGTGGTACGGCGGCCTGCCGGAAGTGTACAAGAGCGGCGGCGCGCAGCTCGCGGTGTCCACCGAGCACAACGTCTTTGTGGCCATCGGGTGCAACTTCATCGGCTACCTCGTCGCAGTCAGCGACGGGGGTCGCGAGTATGTCAGCACATGCTCCACGCTGTGCAACGGGAAAACCCGGGACGCCTTGTGCACGGGCGTCGGCTGCTGCTGGATGACCATCGCGCAGCGTTACCCCGGGTACCAGGTGAAGTTCAAGGATTTGGACGATACGGCGGCAGCGTACGCGGGCCAAAGCCGTGCGTCGGTGGCCGCGTTCATAGTCGATCGCGAGTGGTTCGTAGGCACCATGCAGAACACTGTCAGCTTCAATGATTTTGTCAATGATGATTTCGGTAGCGGTCCGTCCAGCATGCCCACCGTGCTGCAATGGTGGCTAGACGTAGATAGCGACCGTGACTTGGTCGTCAAGGATCCACGTTCTGCATCTCGTTGGAGATGCATAAGCTTGAACAGTTTCGCTGCCTACATCGGCAACGCAGTGAACAAAGTAAGGTGCAACTGCTCGGATGGATACGAAGGCAACTCTTACATCGTTGACGGATGTCAAGGTACCACCGCTCTCCCAACTTTCCCTCTGTTCATCATCCATTAGAATTTTGTTAAATTTTCTTTTTAGTTTTTTTTCTTTTTTTCTCTCTTGCATGTTATATCACTTGAGTGAGGCTTTGTTAAATCTCAGTTGATTAAGAACTAGCCACATCCATCTTCTTATTACGTCGATAAGGATACGACCCTTCAGATCGCTTCACAAGAAAGCAGCCACCGCCACCCAAACCCTTATCCACCGCCTTCGCCCTCCTTAATTTCCCCTTCTCGCTGCTAGAGATCAATGGCCGGGCCAAGTTCCAAAAACTAGTGAGTGAAGGTGGCGGACGGAGGTTTCACTCTGGTTGGCTTCGGTGTCGATATACGATCTTGAGACAGTGTGCGGCTTGAGGCCGAGACTATGTCCATGCATCATCGACATTTTTGGTAGGGCCGGTGCTCTGGTGGCAATGAGTTTGTGGCCGTGATCCCATCTGTAGGTACGCCGGCTGTAGCGGTAGCCGTATGCATCCCAGTGAGGTGGTCTACCCCCTCGGGCAGACGGGTGGCGCCGTAGTCCTGCGCTGCTAGGCGGTTATCGCAATGGGCCCTAGGGTCTTGGCTCTTTAGATCCAGCGACAATGACAAATATGTTAGCTGGATGATCATGCCGCCACTTGCGATGACAACAAAGCAAGATGACTGAGTGGGACTGTCGGAGCAACCAAATTGGGATTTCTGTAGTGCCGGTAAGATTCCTCTCTCGTCAATCTTCGTTGCTTATGTGATGATGGCATACGTCGTTCGGATCATTTGGTGGCAACCGACACTTGGCTGCTTATGCGAGCACTTATCTCAAGACTTTGATTTGGTGGTGCTTCTTGAGTATACAGTCTCAAGCTATAGGGTCATAACCCTAAGTCCGGCCGTAGTTGGTTATACCTGGCAATGATAGTGTGTTTCCTACCCTGTTGAAGACATTGATTGGATTTGCTCAGACTTGATCTTCAGGATGAAAACCTAGTATTTGGCCTTCAGATGTTGGATCCGACATTGGCGGTGCTTGAATGTTGCTCCCTTCTGCAGACGTGCTACCGGAGAACGTTTCTTATCATCCTTGTGATTTCAAGAGATGGTTGGTGCATATGGTCGTTGTAGTTCGTTGATTGTTATTTTGGTCACTTCAAAAAAATCATCACCTATGCATAGCTATGGTCTTGCTTTATTTAGCTATTTGTTGGCTTGATTATTTGTGTCTATGCGTTGGTTTTGGTTATGTGCATTCTAATTATGTAAATGCCAGATATGTGCTCAAGATATCATAAGTTTCAATCACCCAAAGATTATAAGCTACTAAGATTAAAGTCACACTCTAATATCTGTGCAATTTAGAGAATTTGGTAAGGCCTTTTTTCTTTCGTATGCTATATATGGAGTGACGATGACTATGGTTGAATGCAGATCTAAAGTCTTAAATTGTAACTCATATTTAAGTAAAATGCATGCAACTCAAGAGTAAAGATCTTCCCTCCCGTTCTTTGAAGCGTCAATGGTGGTTTGGGGCTCGAGAAACCCAGCTCGCCGCCCTCGTATCTTCCCTCCTGTTCTTCCCCACTTGGCGCAGCGGACGGTGGACGGGACTCAAGAAATCCTAGCCAACATCACCCTCATTTCTTCTTTCATCGTTCTCCCCTGCTGCCACTGCATCTCGTCGGATGGTGGCAACGAACTCGCCTCCTCGCTGAAGCTTTGGCTCGAGCGGCTTTAGAGGTACCATGGCGGCTGGTTGTAATGCCCCAGGAATAAATACCCTATTTTTTACCTATTATATTGTTTGTGCATCATATGCATCTCATCAACATCGCATCTGTATCATATCACACTAATTAAATAATTAATTTGGATATTTTATTTTGCCATTTTGTCAAATGGTGAATTAGTAAACCCTTCTCTCTTTGGCGTTTTCGCCCTTGCCTTTTGTCCAACCGGACACAAGGCCTCGTTGGGATATTTGGGAGCTACCCAAATTAGTTCACAATGTTTGCACAAATCTGAGGCGACTCAAAACGTAAAACTCATTTATGCAATAAATAGAATAATTTTTTAAAATGCAATATGAATGGATCCCGAATGCCGCACGGTGTGCTGGTGACGCGCAACCCCCACTCTTGGGCTGGCCGATGTGCTGCGCGAGATGCCCCATTTTTTTGCCTTTTGTTTTTTCTCTTCAGTTTTTTCTTCTTTAAAATAACTTAGGACATAAAAAAGTTCCAATTTTTTTTTAAATGCGAACTTTGAAATAAAAGTTTGCATATTGGAAAAATGTTCATGAAATTAAAAAAGCAGGAAAGAAATATCCAAAGATGACGTGGGATACGGGCAATGAGTGGTCTTCTGCCAAGCCTGGACACCAGGCAAGGCTTACCGCCACCCTTGATTATATCTGATCCCATGCTCCCCCATGCTTGCATTAGCTTTACGATTTGTGTGTCCTCGATACCTATATGATGCATAGCCTGTTTTTGACACTCCACTATATTGCCTTGGTTTTACCTGATCCTAGCAAGACCTGCTTGTTTGTGTAGAAGCCTTGTTCGACCTGCCTTACAGTAGTATGCATGCTTAATATTTATGTTTTACCATGTTAACCTCCTATTGTAACCTTGGGTTATTACACTGTTAATCTGGTTCAGATACACCATGTTGTTGATGATGCTATGTGCAAAATGAGATAGTAAGTTAGGAAGATAGCCGTGGGAAGCCATGTTTGAGTGCACGGTGTTCTGTTCCACTCGAGCCGAACTAGGACCCGAGATCATGGGCATTTGAATTCAAGACTAAATGCACTAACCACATGTGGGAGAGGTTTACCCCCATCACCCATCAACCGGTACTCAAACTGTTGATCTTTTCCCACTGGTTACAAGCTGACACCATTTTCCTTTTTTGGTACGTTTTAATTTGCTGGGTGGGCACCCTGGTCGTGGACTTATCCATCCCAGCCATAATGGCATATGGTTTGAGTCTGATTTAAATCTTCGACCGGGGAGTTGGGTGATTTTCCTTGACCAGTGATGTAAAAGGGGAGTGCCATGTCATTTAGAATCTTTTGGTTCATGCCTATAATGGTCCAACAACTGGTTTTGACGAGCGTGCATCTGGAGCCTATAATGGGCATATGGGTGCACCATCGTAGGGATAAATATATTCAATTAGTCGTGTTCACGGCTATGGACAACTTGAGTCGGTCGACTTGATCTAGAACAACTTTAACCTTAATCTCTAAAATTTCCCACCCTTAATTTTGTTAGCAATATAGCTTGCGCAACTTGAACTAAATATATATTAAAACTTGCCAAATAATAGACTTGGTGATTCTTCTTCATGGGTGGTGCAAAGGGGAATGCAAGGCTCTGTTATGTTTGCGATAGGATAGATGCTCCGCGTGGGCGCACCCAGTGGGGTTGCGTTGCACAACGTGTGTTGGTGGTTTGTACACGCTCCCTTTACTTATCTCTAATAGACGCAAGTTGTAGCGTGTCTCTATAGGTGCTAGAGCTTGCTGCGGCTAAACCCTTACCCCCTTTTGATACATGATGCACAAATAGTGCAGGTCTCCGGTATGTCTTGCGGAGTATGTCATGTACTCAACTTTCTATAACGAACACTTATAGGTATATGGTGATGGACGACATTAGATGGTTAACCCATAGACAGCGGTCTGGGCAGGGAATGAACGCCTCTGCTGTGTTTATTGTTGATCAGGACTGGTTCAACAGAAATGAAAACGATATGATGCTCAACTCAACTTATCCATGCGAGCAAGCCATGGTTGAGAGTGTTCTGGTAGTGTTGGAGGACATGTTGTCGTTGTCTGTCCAGCCCAATTCTTCGGAACTTAGAAGTTTAAGCTTGAACAACGATAGCTACTATGTTTTTGAAGATTTATGAAAAAAGGCGGTGCAACTGTTCTAAAGGATACGAGGGTAACCCTTACATTGCTAATGGGTGCCCAGGTATGTTAGTAACAGTTTTTGGTATGTTCTTACCTAGTCTCGGTAGTTATAATGTTATGAGATCACATGCATGTGTTATCTTAGTTTTTACCATTCGATGTAAAACCCCCTTGGTTCCAATATTGTGTTTTTCCTCTTCAGATATCGATGAGTGCTTACGGCCAGATGTTTATCCCTGCCATGGAACATGCATCAATATGCCAGGGACATACAGATGCTCAGCAAAGAAAAGAATCATCAGCTTAGCAGGTACATAAAACACCTTTGATAGAAGTCTTCCATTGTTGATAATTGCAAAGACAAACTTTCATGTTTTGTTCCTCGACTATTGTGAGCTTAGTTTTGTCCCTGAACAAAAATACAATAAATTTATATTAGAAACTTATTTTTGTTAAATACTACTATTACTAGGACCTAACTGCTTAATATTTAGTTTACAGTTAGTTATCTCTAATGCTTACTCAAATCATGCCTAGGGTTGTAGATCACTCAAACATGGACGACTAAAAGGAAGGGTATAAAGTACTTCCATTATGAATGGCCCAGTAGTCATATTTCCCAAGAAAACATTTTCATTTTACAATTCAGTAGTTTGAAAAATTGAGCTCGGTAGCTTGATTTCTTGAAGTGAACACAACATATATTGTTCAATCAATCTTATGTCCGCTTTCTGCAGGTCTAATTACCATAATAGCAATCGTTGCTGGTTTTGGACTACTATTTTCACTCCTAGGTGTTGCCCAAGTCACAAAAAAACTCAAGAAACGAAGAGCCAAGAAGATCAGACAAAAATTCTTTAAGAAAAACCATGGACTGCTTCTACAACAGTTAATCTCTTCGAACAAAGATATAGCCGAAAAGATGAAGATTTTCAGCTTAGAAGAGCTAGAACAAGCAACCAACAAATTTGATCATAATCGGATCCTTGGTGGCGGTGGGCATGGCACAGTGTATAAAGCCATCTTATCTGATCAACGTGTCGTGGCCATCAAGAAGGCCAAAATTGTTGTGCAGAGGGAAATCGACCAGTTCATAAATGAGGTTCCATACTTTCACAGATAAACCACAGGAATGTGGTGAAACTTTTTGGTTGTTGTCTCGAGACAGAAGTTCCTCTACTAGTTTACGAGTTCATATCGAATGGAACTCTCTCTTGTCATCTCCATGGCAAAAGTGAGAACCATTTGTCATGGAAAACTCGATTGAGGATTGCTTTGGAAACTGCAAGGGCTATTGTATATCTACACTCTGCAGCTTCCATATCAGTATACCATAGAGATATCAAATGTGCCAATATTCTACTTACTGATACTTTAATAGCAAAAGTATCAGATTTTGGTGCTTCGAGGTCAATTGCAATAGACGAGACAGGAATACTTACAGTTGTCCAAGGAACCTATGGTTACCTTGATCCTGAATACTACTACACGAGTCGATTGACGGAGAAGAGTGATGTTTACAGTTTTGGTGTCATCCTAGCAGAGCTATTGACAAGTGTCACACCAGTTTTTTCTTCTCATTCATCAGAAGGAACAAGCCTAGCATCACACTTTGTATCACTAATGAGCGGCAATCGCTTGTCAGATATTCTAGATACACAAATTATTCATGAAGGAGGAGTTGAAGATGCTGAGGTGGTTGCAAGACTTGCACAAGCATGCTTAAGCTTAAAAGGGGAAGAAAGACCTACAATGAGGCAAGTGGAGACAACACTTGAAGATGTGCATAACTCAAAGGTCAAGCTCAGTTCTCAGATAACAAGAGTGAATCAGAGTGCTATGAAAGATCAGCCATGGATGGGGAACAAAGGCGGTGAAGGAACTAGGTTATACAGCTTGGAAAAGGAGATTATCCAATCATCCGAAATTCCTAGATGAGTTTACTTGCATGGTAAAATGAGTCAGGTAGTATTGTTAGTTTGGGTGCCATGGTACATGCCACATGTAAATTTCTTAATCAACAGCCGAATGTAAATTATGAACGGTTGATTGTAACCATATGTGTATTTCCTATGCTAGAGTCATGCAGGACCAAATATGCAAAAGTAAATAAAATGAACCAAGTTACAGTTTTCTATTAAACATGCAGTTTGCACACTTAATTCTGAAAGTTTGTG